TCCCCCACCCCCTCTGTGCCAGCCTCTGCTGTCTTCACTACCAAGAAATCATTTTTGTGCCTACAGACTCAGTTTTATAAGGTTCTGCCACCCAATCTTAATTAAATAACATATTTCATTTTAAACATGAACACTTCCTTGGCTAGAGATACAGCTGAGCAGCAGAGCACATGCTACCATGCGCAAGGCCCCTGGTACAATCCAAGTTCAATCAATTTAAGTAAATAAATAGGAAAAGTCAATACTTCTTGTCGGACTGAATCTTTTCCTCATCTCCTACCGTTCCTCTGTCCTATTCCAACTGCTGCACCATTTTACTACCAAGCCAGGGCCCAGGAAGGTCAGTGACCTCCACACTCCTACAGCCAGGGACACGCTGTCACTGTCCCTGGGAAGCTCACTGCAGCCTCTTCCCGATGCAGCCTCTCCCGTCTCCTCCCCACCCCTCCACCCTGCACCCTGGGCGTTTTGTGCTTACTATTCATACATGGAACCGTGACTGCGCTCCTTTCCACCCAGGGAAAGCCACTTGCCTTTGCCTCTTACGTCTCGGCCTAAGACGAGGATCTGGCTAGTTTCCTGCTGGGTCAGGGCGTCTGGCTGGCATGTGGCAGACGCCCTCTGTGGCGCATACCTGCTAAGCCAATGAATGAAATCCTGGACAGTATGGACTTACTGAACAAGCGACGCATGTCGGATGACCAAGTGCTGACTTTGAGGACAGTCCCCACAGGCTGCGTGAGCTGGACTCACTGCGCCTCCAAAAGGCAGAGCCCTTCGTTCCCCTGCTTGAGTAAGACCGGCACACTACCCACTAGGAAACGCTTCAGTTCTGTCAGAGAATGTGATGCTGTGCTCTTGGCAAACTAGAGATTTTGTGAAAAATATTTCTTTATAAAGCTTAGGAATCCTAAGTTAAATATACATCATTCAAAATGGTTAGCTGAATCTTCAAGGAAGAAAGGAATTCTCCAGCACCAAATACATGGAAGAGCCTGAAAACCAGAGCAGGCAGGGCAGGAAGCCAGGTGCCACACAGGGAAGGGAAGGTCCCTGGTCACAGGGACTTGGGATTTGGGTTACAATGTCTGTATGGTGGGGAAGGAGCCCCCAGGCCCTCATGAGGAGCGGGCGCCACAGTGGAAACTAAGTAGTCGGCATGAAAATGGAGCCCCCCATGGACTAGTATCTGGAAAAGAGTGAACCAGAAACAATTCACACACCAAGGAGCCAACTGGGAAGTCTGTCTGGGCTGGAGGTATAGCCTAGTGGTACAGCCCTTGCTCTACGATCCCCTTCCCTGTGGAAAAGAAACTTATCTAGGCATAGTGGTGGGCACCTGTCATCCCAGCTCTCACTTGGGAGGCTAGGGCAGGAGGACTGCTACAAATTTGAGAGCAGCCTGGGCTACAAAGTGAGCTTAAGGCCAGCCTGCACTGCATAGAGAGGCCATGTCTCAAAAAAAGACACATACAAAAGAAAGAAACAGAGAGAGAGAGGGGAGAAA